TAATCCTTACAAGGAGAAAAATTTATTTTTTATCCAGTTTTTATATTAAAAGTTTATTATACAGTAATATAGAGGAAGTTTTTTCCATGGTGTCCAACAGAAAACAAGCATCCAACTCCATAAGAGACGATACTTTGCTTCCATTTAATGTCATTCCAAATGTTTCTTCTGACTTATTCAAATAAACATTCAATAATTTCTCCTATAACTCTTTTCTATGCTGCTGTTTTTTTTTCTGAAATTTCTAAGCTAAGAAAGCAGCTGCTAGCAGATGCCAGTGTTTCTTCTATATTTTATATGGTTTGATTTCTGTTACTTCTGAACCTGTTTAAATAGTTTCCCATGGATGTTTAATTAGATAATGAAAAACAAACTTACAACCACACAAAAATCCAAAATCTGTGGGAAACTGAGAAATAATTTTTTATATTTTTTTTTCCAAAAACTTGATTCAAATCAACCAAAGTAATGGAATGATTTCCTCTTCTTGCTATAAGCTCAAGACTTTGACAGTAGGAGAACAATTTCTCATTTCCTGCTTATACAACCATGAACAATATTTTTAACAAGAATTGTTACTTTTGAAATAAATTAAGCCTCAAGAGTGCTAACCTACTCAACAGACATGCCTGTTGATCTAGCTCTACTGACTCCTGTTGAAGGTGGCATACATATATATTGTAGGTGCACTGTTCAAAAAATTTAGACCTGCTATTTAATCTTCTGGAAGCAGGAGACTAGAAAACCATTTTTTGTGGATTCAGCTCAGAATAAATATAGCACTGTACCCTTCAAATCTACAATTTTCACCAACTAACCTTAGTTAAATGTAAAGGGCTAGTTTCTTTTTCAAGTTGAATATTTAGTAACCAGTAATTTAATGCATAAGGTGTTTTGCTAAGCAAAAATACAGCGCTATACTTTTATTTGATCAATCACATGTGGAAGAAGAATTTGACATAGTTGTACCCAAAACTTTTTTTTGTAGTTAGGACAAGGATATATGGCTTTGGTCTAGGCTAGAATCATAACTTTGTATAGCACTGACATATATTATGAGATTAAGCTAGCTGAAAGATTATCTCAGAATGATCTAGTAAGTCATAGCTTTTATTAATGGGTATTTGGATGTGAACCGTTAGTAGATGAGCTACTAAGGGAGTAGAAGTAAGATTTAATATGGATTCAGGCTATGCCATCTTTCTTTTAGACTTAGAATATAATTTTGCTAAGGTATTCTTAAATATTCAGTTCTTTACTGCATTGTGGAAGAAAACTGAATTTGTGGTGACAAAAGTGTTCAGACAGATCCAAATAAGGTGAAAAGCCAATATACAAAGCAGTATCCTAGAACACGGGAATCTATCCAGCCTGTTAAGGTATCTAAACAAAGTAATTCTCGCTTTGTCTGAAATTGTTCCTTGCAGACAGTGTAGAAAAGCAATGGGATGACTGACAAGGTCTTGGAGATCCGTGGAAAGTCTGAGGTACTGATGAGTGCAGAAAGACTAAGAAGCAGAAGTACACTTGGCTCAATGAAACTGATGAGAATTATGCTCAGAGTATGGAGAAAGTCATGTAAGCATGATTAAGGAAGATGTCACATAAAGGAGAAGAAAAGCCAAAAAGCTTTCACTTTTTGAGTTCGAAAATTTCTTTAAAAAGATCTCAAGATAATGTTTTCGGTGCAAAGATGAAATGATATAGTTAAACTTTTGCCCTGCTTGGGTTTTTCTTTGATCTGATTTCTTACAAGTTACAACCACGTCTCAAACTATGGTGCATCCCTGAAAAGGTTTAATAATAAACTGTATATGGTGTAAACCTCTACACCATACAACCAGATTATTTGAGTCAGTTGATAAAAGAGCAGAATATACTTAAGAACAGGACACAGGTGAAAAATAACTTGGAAAATGCTGGATTAATTTCTCAATCCATATGCTGCACCCCCTTGAGTTTTGTTTATCTCATTGCTTTGTGTTCTCTACACGTAACTAATCTGCAGTCAGTTCCTCTGCTTGGATCATTTATTCTGGTCAGCAGCCAATAGAGTTCTGAGTGCCACCTCAGTAAATCCCAACTAATATTTTCACAGTTGAATAAACTGTGGTACACGAAAACCTTCATAATTCCTTTCATAAACACTTGATATATTCTGTCCTAATCAGGTACTGCTTATTCATTCACTCTATCCTGAATGCCTGTGGCTTATAAGTTATGCAGGCATTTACCAGTACATAGCAAAGAGGACTACTGATTAAATATATGTCTGGGAGTATGAAGGAAACGTAGACAAAGCTTTAAAGGCCAAGAAGAATTTATCTACAATTTTTTATTGTGTAATATTTTTAGATTTTTTTTTTTTAAAGGCACAAATAAAGATTCATTTCTTCCTAAAGACTTAATTCTGCGCCCATGAGAGTGAACCTCCCCACTGCTTTAAGTCTTTAGTATGGCAACAAAATGAAATCCGTATATTCTCGTGACAGGAAGGACAGAACAGCTACTACATTAAGTTTTAACCACACCAGCATCTGAAATAACTCCTCTTGGCTATTGCATAATGAGGAAGTAAAAGCATTTCTTACTTAAAGTGCTGCAGTACTACAAGACTCCTATTCTGACATGACTGACAACTGCATGTAAGACAAATTCCAAAAAATCTGACATTCTTGCACTTTTAAAGTGCTCAGATTCCTTTATGGGGAAAAAAGTCCCAGGAAGAAAAGTCTCAGGGAGTCAGAACCTGCAAAACTTCTGAACAGCTGTCTCTTATTTGCATTTTACTTTATTATCTTATTCATCATTGAAGATCATATTGTTTAAGCATGATTGCTCCAAGAAATCAGAAAGTCATGTAATCACAGATACCAACAGAATGCTTATCTGCATTTATTTGATGAGCTTTTAAATACCTTGATGATCCCGTGTCTCACATAGAGTTTTAAAAATTGTCTCCTTTATTTCTGTTATATTTACTAGATTTGGATATATTCATCTGGAATTTTAAATAGTAGGAAAAAAAAAAAAAAGCAAATGCCAACATAGTAATTTTGTACAGGCCTTTGTTCTACCTTCTTTCCATTCCAAGAGAAAAGGTCATGATCCAGAACACTTTCTGTAATCAGAATAGTTTCACTAGTGATCAGGGACTCACAATTTCCCATAGCCACTCATTAGAAGGAGGGAAATTCAAGGAGTAGGTAGAACCCTGTCTTTATTATCTATAAACCATGGTATAAAACAGAGATGCAGGTTTAATTTTAGTGGATACCAACTTCAAACAGAAGGCCATACATTGAAAGCCTATTGTATGGGAACTGCTGAGTCACGGCCTGAACCTCTGATTAGTCACCTGAGGCGAGCAATGAGTCAGCCTTGGGACCACAGGTGAAAGCAATTCACCTGTGCTGCAGGAAGGGGTGGAGCCTGGCTCCGCCTCTCCTAGACCCATTTAAGAGCTGACTACCAGGGGGGAAGGATCTCTCTCTCTTTGGAAGATCCACTCCCCTGGTCTTTCCTGAGCGAGCCCATGACACAGGTAAGCTTCCTATTTATTCTCTTTGTCTTGCTGTGCCTAACTCTCTTGCATATTTTGTTATTATGACATCTTAATATCATTAAATTATATAATATTCCTTTATATAATTTTCATTGATTATACACCTATAAATAAAAATTCTTAGTCTTCTTTATTAAATTCGTGTATGATTCACTGCTATTTCAAAATCTTTTCCATCATCTATTGCTGAGTGTTTTTCTTAATTATTTATATATGGAATTTTATACTGCTTAAATATAAAACTAAAATGAATTTATTTACAATATTCACTCAAAATTGAGGCCTGTTATTTGAAGAAACTATATTATGGAATAGTCAAACACAAATAAGTGTAGCAAGATTGTTTTATACTAATAAAAGCAAGGTTAAAATGATTAGAATAAAATGTGGACAGCTGATTGCAGTTAAACTTTAGGAAAAGAAAAATATGAATTAATGAATGAACATACTTTATTGTGCATGAAAAAGTATAATTTGATATTTATCCTTGGTTCATTACTCACTGGGATACTGTCTGGATTACAGGGATGCTGTCTGGACTTGCAGAGAGGGGATTAGGAAAGCCAAGGCACAGATGGAACTGGACTTGGTGAGGGATGTTAAAAACAATAAGGAGACATTCTACAGGTACACTGGCCAAAAGATGCAGGCCAAAGAGTGAGTACCTCCTTTGGTAAATGAGAACAAAGAAGTGCTATGACAGATTTGGAGAGGGCTGAGGTGCTAAATGAGTTTTTATCCTCAGTCTTCACTGGCAGCTAGGATTCTTCTATTTCTCACACCCTTGAAGCTTGCACTCCTGGGCCTCTAGGTGGGAACTGGGGGAGTAAATTCTCCCCACTGCTTTACTTGCAGAGCAAGTCCAAGACTGCCTCATGAGACTGAATGTATACCACCAAGTCTATGGAGACAGATGACATGCATCCCAGGGTCCTAAAGGAGCTGGCTGATGTGGCTGCTGAGCTGCTCTCCATCATATTTGAAAAATATTGACTGCTGAGTGAAGTCCTTGGGGACTGGAAAATCAGAAACGTCACACTCATTTACAAGAATAGGAGGAAGGAGGACCTGGGAAACCACAGGCTGGTGAGTTTCATCTCTGTACCTGGGAAGATCATGGAATAGATCCTCCTAGAAGACATGTTAAGGCACATGAGGGATGAGCAGATAATCCGAGACAGCCACCTTTGCCTTTAACAAGGCAAGGTCATACCTGACCAATCTGGTGGCCTTCTATGATGAAAGGACCATACTGATGGACAAAGGGAAGTTGACCGATGTCATTCACTTGGCCTTGTGCAAGGCTTTTGACATGGTCCCTCACCACATCCTTATCTTTTAATTGGAAAGATATGGATTTGAGAGATGGACTATTTAGTGCACAAGAAATTGGTTGGAAGGCCACAACCCACAGGGGATTGTGTTGAATGGCACTATGTCCAAGCGGAGGCCGGTAATGAGCGGTGTTCCTCAGGGATCAGTCTTGGAACCTGTGCTCTTCAACCTCTTCATCAATGACATTGATTATGGGTGTGAGTGCATCCTCAGCAAGTTTGCCCATGACACTGAGTTGAGTGGTGTGGTTAACATGTTGGAGGAATGTAAAGCCATCCACAGGGACCTCAACAAACTCAAAATGTAGGCCCATGTGAATCTAATGAGGTTCAACATAGTAAAGCAAGGTTATGCACTTGGGTTAGAGTAACCCCAGGTATGCATACAGACTGGGAGAAGAACTCCTTGAGAGTAGTCCTGTGGAGAAGGACCTGGGTGTTCTGGTAGATAAAAAACTTAACTTAAATGAGCCAGCAATGTGCTTCTGCAGCTTGGAAGGCCAATGGTATCATGGGCTCCATCAGAAGAGGGGTGGGCAGAAGGAGGAAGGAGTTGATTGTCCCTCTCTACTTTGCCCTTGTGAGGCCCCAGCTGGAGTACTGCATCCAGGTCTGGAGCCCCCAGTACAGGAAAGATGTGGAGCTGTTGGAGAGGGTCCAGAGGATGGCCACAAAGACAATCAGAGGTCTGGCGCAACTCCCCTACGAAGACAAGCTGAGGCAGCTGGGCTTGTGCAGTTTGGGAAGGCTGCGGGATGACTTCATCGCAGCCTTTCAGTATTTAAAAGGGGGTTATAAAAAGGAGGGGAATCAACTTTTTACAAGGGTAGATAGTGATAGAACAAGGGAGAATGGCTTTAAGCTCAAGGAGAAAAGGTTTAGATTAGATGTCAGAGGGAAGTTCTTCAGAGAGAGTGGTGAGGCTGCCCAGAGAGGCTGTGGATGCCATAGAGGTGCTCAAGACCAGGTTGGATGGCATCTGAGCAACCTGGCCTAGTACCAGATCTGGAGGTTGGTGGCCCTGCCTGTGGCAAGGCAGTTGGAACTTGGACTTGGCGTCCCTTCCAACCCAAGCCATTCTATGATTCTATGATCTTCATTTTTATTTAAGCACTTGCTTGAGTAAGCAAAAATAGTACCAGAGCCCTGATCAAAGAAAAATATATGTATTTTGCCTCCATAAAGATCATTTCCAAAGCCAAGAGAATAAAATCTTATTTCTTGTGTTAGGCCTATCAAATGCAGGTGAAAATCTCTTCTAAAGCAAACGTGTCATCAAGGCAATAGATTTGCTCAGGGAAAAGTTGAATGTGTAGATATAGATTTCATAAGAAACAAAAATGTTAATGCTATAAATATTAGCAGAAGTATTTTTGATTTGAAGAGACAATGGGTATTTTCTCCATTCTTGCTACTCCCATTCTTTTGTTTTCATGCCATACTCATTTACAGTTAAAATGATATTAATTTTCATTTAAGTTCTATTTTTATCCTGCATCCTGACCTAGAATAACACCGTTGCATGACTGAGAGAAATCTTTGTTTTTCTCTTTTCAAAGAATGTATTTTTTCTCAAACCCTTACTGTATGACGCTAAGTAGGTAGCCAAACATCCTGTTAAATCACTTTCTTAAGGCTTATTTCCATTTTTTTCCCCTATATCCTGCTCTGACTTGAAGTGAATGTAATTTTAAATTTTTATCAAAAACAATCCACTTTTTCATTTGAGTATGTTATATATAAACAGATGTATTAACAAATATCCATTTGATGATCTAGACTACTGCAGCACCTCAGTGCTGTATAAAGAAGTATAACATACACCGTGAAAATACAAAAAAAAAAAAACATTATTATATACATATATATAATAATGGTGATTTCTAATCTTAACTAGCAGAAGGAAAAAAATACCAATGTATTTAAAAAAAAAAGTATAAATGTATATTTTAAAAAAGCTGAACACAGAGAAAGTGGAGCTTGATATACTTCATAGCACTATGGATAATTCATCATTAGAATAGGTTAGTAAGGACATAGCTCTGTGGGCATGACCTAAACAAATGGCTACAGGCTGGCCAGGCCTTACTCATACACATGCATTAACTTAAGACTGTCACTTACTAATGCATTCTTCAAAATAAGCAAGTTATATAAATAGCTACTTTTTAAACCTCTCTGAAATACTAACCTGTCAATTTGAAATAATGTAATTCATAGAAAGTCATCTTAAAAGGTTTAATAACCTAGAAATATACTTTGTTCAAAATAACTGTTTGAAGATTTTATACAGCTAAGATCATAGAAACAAACTGTAATTGCTGGGATCCACATGATAGCGTAGGCATGTTTTTGTGGTCAGGGCATAACTGAAGATTTCAATTTAAAAAGGCTACGTATGGTGTTTTGGGTTTTTAGAAATGACTAATTACAAAACTGTAGGTATTATATTTCCATCCAAATCTTTTTATATATTGGTAAGATCTTTCATTCAGGAACTGGCAATACCATAACAAAAAAAAAAAGACAACAGAGGAACTGAGCCAATGTCTTTTGTTCTTTGTATATCCATGCTTGAGACTCAGTGGTAATTTCTGATTACATCAAACAGCTGATGATGAAAGAAGTGCAATTCTCTCCATTTATATATAGTGGAAGGAGAAGTCCTACGAAACATGAATGGAAATAAAGTGTGTTAATACAGGGAGCCACTGGGGAAACAGAGTGAGGCTGCTGGGTTTCTTTCTGCTTATTTCTGGAGAATCTACTCAGGCTGCAAATAAATGGACACATGTTCCTGTTGTTCCATATTTCTTTGAGCTGTTCTTCCTAGTGCACATGAGGGAAAGGGTAATTCCAACACTGCAGATGCACTTCTCGTTATCATCTTTTCTTCTGTTTCAGTTCTTTCTCTTCCTAACTGTTCTTCATCTGTGCACCATAGGAAAATTGATTTCTGAACAGCTGTCTTTTCTCTATTTACATCAGCAAAAGCCCTGTAAATAGTGATTTAAGGTAGGTAGAGGTTTTCCTTTTCTGATGCACTTGCAGGACCAGACATGTTAGGATGTGATGTGATTCCAGATGCTTGTTAAAGCGTGCAACTAAAGATCTGGAAAAGCATGTAATACAAGAACAGCCACAATACCAAGAGTAGCATGTTAGAGGTAGATAGTATTCCACGTTTTTATGGTGCTGCATTTACCATATTTGTATTTATTGATACATTCCTAAGGAATGGTGTGCCTTTCTTAGAGTTTGTTTTGATTGTCCTCTCTAAAGAAGCCATGCAAGCTGTCTGTGAAACAACAGAGTAAACTCTCCAGCAAAAGAAAGCTGAAAGTACACAACTATCTGCTCTCATGAACTGTTACATGAGGGACATTTTTTTTTCTAGCTGAAATGTTTCATCACTGCAAACAAAACGCAGAGGTTACCAACTGGCATGAGTGACAGAATTATAAAAATGGGCTGGTCAAACAAGGTTACTAGCAGAAGAAACGGCAATTAAACAATTTGCTTGAACAATAAATGCTGGAGTTTTGAACTGTTTATGCTGCTGTGACAGCACAGATACCATCACAGTTCTCTGACTAGCTTTTTATATAGGTTCTTGAGAGTGTTTTGCTATGGCTAGATATCTAGTAATGCCTACAATATGACTGTGCTTCTGACTACCTCTCATCATCTGTGACTCAGTGATTTTCTCACGTGACTTCCAGCAATAATGAAATGCTAGTTCTGGTGTAGCTGGAATCCTGAAAGGGGCATTTGTAATAGGAGCATCAGAGTTCTGTAGCTTTAACAAACTTTGTGCTGAGCCTACTTTGCTACTGTAGGCTGGAGCAGCAATCAAGATACTAATTCTTGCACAAATAAAAAAGTGATAATGACAGATTAAAACAGTAGAGTGTTCTGGAGGAAAAAAAAAAAGTGAGATTTTAGAAATTTTATTGTTCTTCTAAATAATCCTGGGCAAGGAATGAAGGAACTGTCCCTCAGTGAAAAAGCAACAGACCTAGGTAGTCTTTCTATCTCTAATTTCCTGGACCCTCTGGTTTCACAGGGGCTATTAGAGTTGCAGTGTGTTGCTCATGTAGCCACTACGCCACGTGAAAGTTAGCAGACACTACAGAATTAAGTACGGCTAGGAGCATCTACTTCCCCAAGCAAATCCCCTCCTGCAATTAAAATGCCTGATTTTTGGTTTCTTAAATGAACAGGTGCCCAAAAGTAATGCTTGGCATTCCCTAAAATCTTTTTCCTAACTTTCTGCAAAACGGGGAGTTTGCTGTTTGGTTTCATAGCACAATACCATTCATTTTAGTTTTACTGCATGCTCCCAGTAACAGCAGACATATAAGCTGCTTCTCAGTGGGCTGTTAGATAAAACAGGGTTCCTTTTACTAATGTACTATTAATAGCAGACAATTTCTCAGCTTGAAATACTTGTGTTGGTGAAACATCTGTGGTGAGTGCAACAACTCTAACATGTACGTTATCAGAATAGGCTTGTGAAGAATTATTTGGAAAGCTCATTCACCGAATACATCATGCTGAGTGAGGTCCTTTGTTGAAAAATACTTCCAGCTATTATGAGAGTATTCAAATGAAATAAAATTATTTATGTGTCAGGGAAATATCTGGAGTCCATCCATGAATGTCTGGAAACAGTGAACAGTATATTACCAGTGTCAAATATCAAGGATCTAATTTAAAGTACCTGTTCTTTCTATATACAGAAGAGTCCGACCTTTAAATATGAGTTAAATATTCAAAAATTTTATCCCAATACCTTCACTGGGGTCCTGAATATATTTTATAGTGTCAGAGAAATTAGTATCACATACTGTGGAATAAACAGAAGAACTGAGCTACTATTTTTCTGCTCAAAATACAAAACCAGATTCCAAGGCAGATTATAACCTTTATAAGTAGTTTCACTGAGGATGGAAGAAAATGAGCCATGCCAAAGCAGAGCTCCCAAAAGAGCTATATCTGACTCAAGTTTCTTCTTCTGAAGACTGTTGAGGAAAAATTATGCACATGTGAAGAGCACAAGATCACACCTCTCCACCTTAACACATCCCTCTGTCCTTGGATTTTGTTTGAGCTAAGTACCAAAATGATCCTTCTCTACACTTCTGTCTAGTGAAAGGCACATGAAATTTATAAATACTAGACGTGATATTCATTGTTTTGTTAAAATTTGAAGTAGAGACAGAAGTTCTGTTTACTTTGGAAAGCAGCCACAGGCAGAGTTTATT